ATTTTTGTATGCTGAATTTGTGTTGTCATTTTTATTCTTATCTACTACATAAGGCGTATTTCCACTCTAGGTCCAATAAAATTCAAAAAAGTACTCCCACCTAAGAATACTGAAAATAACTTAAAAGTCACAATTGTCAATTTACCTATCATCTACTTTGGCTAAAATCCTAGGTGCTCTTAGCTAGGAAAAGACTTAACAGCATAGTGGGACTTTCAGGATTGTGCTCTGTGTTCCAACCGCATCTGTACTTGTATACAAACAACATAAAATAACTTAGTGTCTTAGTGCCCATCCATGTTCTCATCAAATGATACAACCAGATAGTCCAATGTGATGTGGATGAATTTTGTGGCATAAGTGCAAATGCACTTTCAGATGTGAATTGGCATCCACACTGCTGGCACACCAAATGTGGAGGGCTGCTTCCATATGCCAGTCTTCCTGCTGGATCATGCAATTAAGTCCTAAGGGCTAGCAAATTTCATTCTTTCCATCCAGAGATAAAAACTCACTAGTCTACCTTTTCATTTCTAATAAATGTAATTTTTAAAAACCCAGTTAGGTCACATACAGGGAGTCCACTCTGAGGTAATTCTGACTTATGGGAGCAAACTGCAAGATTAGCTACCACAACTCAGTGATCCTTTGTTTGTACAAATGTGGTATCAAAAGCCTGACACATCTAGTGATTAAATTTCCAGTAACAAATGTGACTATGAGGTATGGAGTAGAAGACAGATTTAATACCTGTGCAAGTGTTTGATAGAGAGGACAAATACATATTTTGGGAAGGTATAACCTCTTTGGATGTTTGAATAAAAAACAATTAATTCCGTTAATTAATTAAAATGAATTGATGATGATAAAAATATATAGTTTTTGTTTGGGTTTCATAAAGGTAGACTAAGTATATTTGCATGGAAGTCTTGGGAATCTTATACAAAATCTTGAGATGCTCACTATATACTGAAAAACTTAATATTTTTCTAGTGTCACTCTTCTAGCTTCATTGACCTTTAATTCCCATTTAAAGAAGCATGTGAATCATTTTGAAGGCTGTTCTGTTTATATTGAGAACATTTGCACGTATATGCAAGTGTAGGCTGTAGTCCACAAATACTTATGAAAGAATAAATTTGTTAGTCTTTCAAACAGCACATGACTCTATTATTTTCACTGCAACAAGACCAACACGGATACCAACACGGATACTCCAATGGAAAGTCCACATCACAATACAGATAGATAACATTATAGTTCCCCTCTGTTAGAAAGACATTCTGAGGAAATGTTTTGTTACACTGTGTCATTTAATGGGTTAGTAGATATTACTTTGCCATATGTGAACACACGATGTTTCCACAAAATTAGTCGGAAAACTGCATCACTAGCCCTTTCTTTATCCCAACTCTCACATAAATGTCTTCAAATTCATGTAAACACATTCATTTAGTGGGGCAGGGAAACACAAAGCAAGTCACTGTTTGAATTACACCTTGCAAACAAACACAACACCATAAACAGAAACTCATTGGAGTAAACCTAAAATATTAATCAGTATAATTCTTTTAAAGATTTTTGAATGATTTTCTCTCCTCCTTCAGTTTGTCAGATTCTTGCTCCTGAACAATGTCAAGTTTATACCTGCGTCATGACTGTTATATCTGATGGTCCATTCTTACACCACATATTTAGCTAAGACCAGTATATTATACTAGTTGGTGCAGAAGGAATGAAACTGGTATTTAATTAATGTGACCTCCCCAATTCCACCTCTACCCTGAGAAAAGCTGTCATTAATGTCTCCTATCTTTCACTCTCCCTTGAAATGTGACCACTTAAAGAAGAATACAGCCCTCTTAATTTTTTTTTGTCTCACTGAAATTCTGTGAACTTCTTGTAAAATTCTTACAGATGTTTTATCAGCACAGGATCTACAGAATAGCTTTGAATTTGGCATACTCCAAATATTTTTGGTCATTTCAGGCTACAATTCCAATGCACAATTAAACTTGGAACAAAGTCTTATTAAGCACAGTTGAATTTGCTTCCGAGTAACCAGAGTGTTGTGCTATCAGTCAGTGAACCATCCATAGACTACATCAAATTATTAAGTGGAACTCAATGGGAAGGAGGAGAAACCTCAGTATCCCCCTCCAGTCAAACTTAACAAAAGTTTTGGCATACAGCCAAGCAGTGTTTCAACTCTGTAGTAACTTCCTACCAATGAGAATGTGTACAGACTTCAAATGGCTTCAGGCTACCTACAAATCCAAGTTTAAATGTAAGTTCCTGAATTCTCTTGTTATTTTTATATATATTATTTTGCACATACTGATGAAAAAAACCATACAAAGCAAATCTGTACAACATGCTCCTTTGCGGTCCATGTTCTCTGTAATACATGCAGGGACATTCACAAAATTGTCACTGTAACATTGTAACATTCAGTACATAAAGTTTAAAAAACCATAAACCTTCAAGAATATAATAGGGAACAGGCAGTGCACCTATGCAAACCCTGGAGGTACACCATATGTGGATGCATATAGTGCAATCACTTGCAAATGTCTTGGGGAGGGGGGGATGCATGTGCCAAAACTGATTCCTGCTCAGTTAGAGAAAGGGGATATTGTTTGGCTCAGTCTTGCCACAGTATGGGTAAGACTCCCACCCTCCTTCTGCATGCAGTTGAAGAATAAGCTTGGCGTGTATTGCGTGCATGCTTCTTGATTGGAGAATGGGCAGGGGGGGAGAACCTGGCTGGAATCCAGACAGGCTGGAGTAAAGCGCTCTGTTGATCATTATGTCTGGCCTTCAGGTGTCTCCGCTCACAGTGGGCGGTGGTTGGGGGAGGTGTAGATAACAGTACAGCAGACAAAGAAGTAGGGGGAAAAAATAAAGAGTATTGCTTTTTTTTTAAAAAAAAGGTTATGAGATAATTTGACGTTGAATCCTCCTTTCTGAAAATACATTCCATGGGTTCAGTTCCCAACACGACAGCAAGCTCTGCCCACAAAGATTTATTTCAAGCAGTAATTAGGAACGTCTGGAGTCTCTCTCAACCATTTTTCTTTTATTAAAATTCATATTTTAAAAGACGGGAGGAACGGGTTTTGCTTCAGGAAAACCTAGGAACAGTTTTGTGTCATGTTGGGTTTTTTTCACTCACACTTTCTTTCACAGACCCTGCCCAGACTGGCTAAATCTGAATCTGATTTCTATTGTCCTCGCCCACCCCTTTCTTCCCCCCCAACTCAGACTGCTCCCCTGTGAAGCTACTTTCAGAATGCAACTTTCTTATAAAGGATTGCATTTTTCTACTCTCACTGCTTGGCATGCATTCTTTATGGGAGCATAAGCTGTAAATCAGAGTGTGTTACTATGCTCCAAGACTCTTGAATTAATTTTCTTTTTCCAGGCAAGAAAGCGTGAAGAAGAAGAAGAAGAAGAAGAAGAAGAAGAAGAAGAAGAAGAAGAAGAAGAAGAAGAAGAAGAAGAAGAAGAAGAAGAAGAAAGGGAAAACCACCGACACCCAGTGCTTTGTCTGTTGCTTCTGCTGGAAAACTCATAAATCTCACAGAGCAAAGCAACTTAGGTCTGTTTTGATTGGGTTATGAAGCATCAAGAAGGCTTTTTATGGATTTCATATCATTTTTCCTCCCCCTATTTTCTCTTCTGTGAATTTATGCACTACCAAGGGTTCCACACCCCTGCCTTTAAATGCTATGGGAAATCTGAGCAAATTCGAAATCAAAGGCAGCATTCCAAGATATTTTCTTAAAAATAGATATTTTTAAAGACCCTGCCTCCTTAGGCTAACTTTTTCGAAGCTGAAAAATGTCACTGGGTCGTTCATTCAGTCAAGTTGAAAACAATTAAAAAAAAACCTTTAAAAAAAGTCTGCTTTTCACAAGAACACTCCGAAGAAGGGGGGGAGGAGCAACTTTGCTCCGGAACAATTGTTCCGGATCAATGTTTGTCCCCAAGAGCCTGCGCTGGCCCTCCCCCCCGATCCCACTCCCCGCCTCGCAGCCAATTATAATAACTGTCAGATGTCTGTAAAGTGTGGCGTGTTCTTGCCAGCTGACTTAGCGAAGTTTGCTTTTATTTTTCTCCCCCTCCCTCTCCCCGGAACTGTGGGCTATACATCAGACCCGATTAGGCACAGAAAACAATATCGGAGGCACGCAACGCAACACAAACCGAACGACGTGTACTCAGGGAGTTATACAGACACACAAACACAGACACACACACACACACACCCGTTTTCCCTCCTCATTTTTCTTATGAACAAAGCCGTCCGCTGTCTGTATGATAAGGAGCAGCGTGGCTTTGTAGGCATCGCCGGAGGGAAGAACTCTTCGCACTCTGCCCCCTTTCTCTCCCTCGCTTTCTCTTTGGAAAGAAGGAAAGAAAGAAAGAGGGAAAGAAAGAAAGAAAGAAAGGAGCGCCGGAGGTTTTTAATTCGAACAGTCCGGACATATTTTTGAAAGCCTTCAGGGCATAAGGAAAGAAAGTGCAACCTGCAAGGGTCGAGAAGCGGGGTTGGGAGGTTGAGAAAAGGGCGTCGTCGTCGTCGTCGCCGCCGCCCGCCGGGCTGCCTCCGGCGTGAGGAGAATTATCAAAGACGCAGAATTCCCAAGGTGGTGGTGGTGGCGGTGGCGGTGCTTTCCTTGGCGGCGGCGGCGGCGGGGACTGTCCCGCCGGGCGCTTTCTCTTTGGAAAGAAGGAAAGAAAGAAAGAGGGAAAGAAAGAAAGAAAGAAAGAAAGAAAGAAAGGAGCGCCGAAGGTTTTTAATTCGAACAGTCCGGACATATTTTTGAAAGCCTTCAGGGCATAAGGAAGGAAAGTGCAACCTGCAAGGGTCGAGAAGCGGGGCTGGGAGGTTGAGAAAAAGGAGGGAAGGAGAGAGGGCAGACTTGGACCCTTTGACACATGCCCACGACCGAGTCGCGGGTTTACGCGGCCGAGACGTCTGCGGGCGTACTCACGGTCTCGAGCTGCTCTGCGAGTCGCCCGGGTCGTCGTCGTCGTCGCCGCCGCCCGCCGGGCTGCCTCCGGCGTGAGGAGAATTATCAAAGACGCAGAATTCCCAAGGTGGTGGTGGTGGCGGTGGCGGTGCTTTCCTTGGCGGCGGCGGCGGCGGGGACTGTCCCGCCGGGCGCGCGTGTCGGGGGCGCGTGTCAAGCCCCAGCTCGGAAGAAAGCCGCGCTCGCCTTGGGTCGCAGACATTCCCCCACTTGACGCGGCCCCGCCGGCTGGGCGAGCGGCAGTTGCTCTACTGAAGAACTCCTCAATCCTGCCCGTGTGAAGAAGATTGGGGAGGGGGGGGGTCTGGAAACAGAGTCATGTGAGGCGCGACCGCCTCCCCCATTGGCTGCGGAAAGATAACTTGGGCATCCTCGCTTTCTTTTTTCCTCCTCCTTAGATAAGAGTTACAACTGAAGCCAGCCGAGAGAGAGAGAGAAGGGGGGGGAGTGGGCCGGCGGGAGCGAGGAGGGTGCGTGTCTGGGCCGCCCTCCACTCAGTGGAAGAATGACGGCCGGGCTTTACGGTGACAGGATTAGGAAAGAGAGAGGCTGCGAGCGAGCGTGAAGTCATTCTTTGACTGAGGCGGGGTTGGGTGGAGAGAGAGAGAGGGAGAGAGAGTTGCTTCCCCGGCCGCTCCCCCTCCGGCGCGCGCGCACGCGCTAGGCTCCCTGCCTGTCCCTTCCCTTCCCTTCCCTCCTACACACGTGTATTGTGGGGAGTGGAAGGAAGGAAGGAATCTTCTGTATAGGCGTCTATCTGTTTGTCTCGCCTCGGAGTCGTCTTTTACGGGGGGTGCTTCCAGACCTTCTTCGGAAGGGAAAGAGGGCGAGACAGTGATCTCTCTCCCCCCCCCCGCCCCATATTCTGAGTTCTCTTAAAGGAGGGGGAGGTTTGCGATGATTGACACCATACTGTACAAGAGAAAGGTTCCGTCTTCACACTTGTGAATTTTTTTTTTTCAGTCAGAAAGAAAGAATCCCCCACCCCCCAATTTCATAGCCTGTTGAACAAAAGAAATGCTGTTCAGCGCTGCTCGTCTTTCTTCCTTTCTTGTCTTAAAACTGCGGGCCACTCGGCACAATAAGAGTGCTACTGTGACCGCAGCGCAAAGCAACAAAAAAAATTACGGTTCACTTGGGAGTGTTTTGCTGAATTAAATGGAAAGCACATTCAGGGTTAATGCACACTGCCTATTTAAAAAAAAATTAAGGAAGGTGGCCTGTTTCTTATCCAAAACGCATTACTGTACTTGTCTTCTCGTTTTTCTCCTCCAGTACATGGATTATTGTCGTCTGCTTACACCAGCCACCTCGCAGAAATTTTACTTGCGAAATTTTAATTTTTGGGACGTTACTTTGTTGCATAATACCACATCATATATCAAGCATTACAGCTGAATGAACTGCTATTCCCTTTCTGGGTTCTTGTATCGTTTGCATTAACAGCGTTTCCAGGTCAAGTTCACTGTTGCACTAATCACAAAATCAATCCAGAAGAGGCTGTATTGTCAGTGGTGCAGGGGGAGAGAATATTTTGGTTTGAGGCACTCCCACTCAATCCATTGGCCACCCTTATGTTTGATGAAGAGAAAACATTTCATTAACCGTAATAATGGTATGAATACCATAAAGCAGTATTTATTAGGATGCTAATGGAGGAAAGAGGGCCACTTAAATTATTAGCTCCAATGTTTCTGCCTTAATTTCTTACACAGTCGCACTTACAAGTGTGTCAAACTGGATATGCTCTGGTTAACTCTTAATTTAAAGGCCAATATCAAAACCTATAGAATCTCTGAAGAGGAGACCACATGTGCTACTGTTATTAATGGCATAAGCTGGGCTAGAAAAATCAGGAAGCTTCCATGAGCTACGATTGGAGCTGTCAAGGTAGTGTGAAACTCCTTTGCCAGTACCATCACCGTGTCAAAATTTATTGATCTCTCCCCACTCCAGCCATATGGTTTTATTGGGGAAAGCTAAATATCCTGAGTTTAAGGCAAGAAGGAGAACTGGTGTTGTGTAGATTGAGAACTGCGAAGTCTGTGATTCAGATCAAGGGTATGAGCTGAGAACAGACAAATCTGTTGTTCAGATCTCCTCTACAACTTCATTTGGTGGCCTTAGGCAATATGTTCAGCTCTCAGACTGTCCCCTCCCCACCCACCCTGGACGCCATCTGAAGCACAGGGATAAAATTCAGACCAACTTTACAAGGTTGCTGAAAGGCTTACTAAGATAATGTATTGAAGCAATTTGGACATTCTAATGTTCATTGTAAATACTGTGCATGCCCGTAGATTGAAGACTCCTACTGCTCGCAATTAAAGGCATTCTGTCTTTTCCATAAACAGGGAAAAAGAGATGGAAGAAACAATGGGAAAGCACAGGGGGTTGCCAACTGGAAACAACACCTGGACCTCCTTTAAGCTTGCATGAATGAAGGGACAGAGAAATTGTACAATCAAAGCTTCATATGAAAGCACCTTGTGTTTTTATTATTATTTACAAACAGGTAATGAGAGGATTCTGCAGAAACATACACTGGAGTCCAGTGTACATGTAGTATGAACAGAAGCAGTTCTCATAACTATATCTGTTGGTAAATTAATGAGTGCTAGTGAGCAGCAGTATACTTAGACAATTCACAGGTGCAAACACAGTGTACCAAAGTTGTGCATTCATCTACAGCAAATCCAAAATTCTGTAATGAATGTGAGCTGGGGTGCCACAGATTGAACTGCATGGCCCCAGTTCACTTCCAGAGTGGATCAGGGTGAGCTGAAGCATTCCAGAAAAAATCTAAGACTCAGAGGTTTATAAATATGTATGAAAAGATACACAGGAACATGAAGGAAAGGGAAACAGGAAAAGAATGATATCATCTAAATAAGTTGTGATAGTGATATGATGCAGTGAACCTCCCCTAAGTGACAGCTTCATTCTGCAGTTCAGGGCAAGTATTTCTGTGGCATGAGAGCATGAGGTCACTTCTCTTTTATATTGACCAAAAACCTGTTGTCTAGCACTAGAGTTAGGCCAAATGACTGAATAGTGATTCCAACTCCCCTGTAGGTTCCATTGATTTAAATGGATTACTCTAATGGCATCTAACTATGCTAAGGAACAAGATTTCATCCTGTATTTGTGTTTCTGCACTGGCTGCTTATGTTTTTGTCAAACCAAGAGGTAGCTTGTATATAAGAATAAATGGGGTGCTGCCCTACCTGAGACTCAGCCTGTTCCCCAGCCACCCCACTCCAGCTGGGAAAGGTTTTTCTTCCCCTGTGTACAGTTGAATGCTTCCCTTGCTCTGTGTGAAGCATTCAACTATATACAGAGAGTATGAGAGGAGGAAAGTCTGTGTGTGCATGCTGAGTTTTTGCACCTGGTTCCACCCACCTTTGCTTTCTATGCCTTCCTCTCCACCTTCTACAAGAGGCATAAGACGCCACTGGCCTGAGCTTTAAACATTTAGTCTTTCTTTCTCCCTTCTCCCTTTGTTTCCCTATCAATTGGAGCAACTACGTACTTCTATTTACTGGTTGGATTGAACTCTGGCTGGGTCAGGGGTTTCTCCTTGGCATTAGCCAAAGCACTATCTGCAAAGTCAGAAGGTTGCCTAAGTCCCTCTACCCTCCCCCACCCCACTCTCATTATACCTGCCAGGAGTCAACAAATGTTTGGAGATGGTTGACATAAAAACCTGGAAAGCTGTGTATCTTTGATTTGGCTTAGTGAATTATTTTCTCCTTGTGATCTACCATGTTGCTATGTTTCATGGCTGCATCTGGAACAGCCCTAAAGTTACAACCATTTGAGATTCCCCCATTCAAGCTGGTGGCCTCCATTCTGTGAAAATGGCAGCACAGGAATTTTCACCCTGGGAGAGTTTCTGTCATTACTTTTTCCTTTATGTCACAACACTTGTCTTGAGCAGAGATAGCAGGATAAGGCCTGGCCCCCTCTCTAATGCTTAGTTACATCTACGATTTCATTACATTGTCAGGTTCAGGGTTGTATCGCTACTAATTTGATAGGGGTGGGCACTCAGGCTGCAGATCCTGAGGTGGGTGATGGTGGTAAAATGCTTCAATGTGTACCTCACATACTTCACAATGTGTGTGGTGCCACCTCAGCTAGTCTGTTCTTCTGAAGTGCAATAGAGGCAGCAAGCACTGGTCACTTACTAGTCTTTCTGTGTATGCAGTTATGAATTTCACATCCTCTTGGATGTGGAGAGGAACCAAGGGAAAATCATTCTATTCTTCTTGTGTTGAGATTTCTCGGTTTGATATCCCCTCTTTTTGCAGGATTTCTCAGATGTTTTATAGTCATTTTCCCCCCTTGGGAAAAGAAGTGGCAAGGATTATTGCAATCTTTCTTACACAGCATTCACTGGAAGGGCATTAAGCTGCATACAGTTTGACAGTTTCCTGTGAAAAACGATGGGTGCAAAGCAAGGATGAAAAATAGGAAGGAAAATGAGGCTGAGCTTTCCTTTTAATGGAAAGGCTAGAAAGCTCATTGCAGAAAAGGCTCTCAGCAGTGAGGCTAGTCATGGTGAGACTTGGAAAATCACAGAGAATGAGAAATGTCGCAGTGTCCCTAAACTGAGAACTGGGATAATTCTCTCCCTCATTTTAATCAGAAAAACATCTTAACAGGGCTCCTGAATCATGATATTCATTGTGTTGTCCTGCCAAACAAAAGTCTGTAATGCTGAGCAGTGAAACGCACAATGTGATTGTGTTGTTTTACAGAATAAGAGACTCTACACTTCTCTCTCTTCTCTTCTCTTCTCTTTCTCTCTCTCTCTCTTTTGCAGCAGGTCTACATTGGAGAGTTAAAAGTAATCTCATTCAAGTTTGAATAAACTAAATTCCTAAATCACTTGCTTCCTTTTCCCCATGCTTGGTGCTATCTGTGAAACAAATTTCATGGAAGGTCTACTATTGGCCTTATATTTCTGAAGATGGAAATGCACTATTTTAACTTCATCCCAGCAGGCATAGCTAGATATGATGTGATGTCTGCACACCAGTCAGTGCTTCATTAAGCCCATCTATTCTGAATTCTTGGGGCTCAGTTTATTTGTACATCTCATTGTGTAAAATCTCTAGTCATTTTTTTAAAACTTCCATGCTTCTCTTCTGCTCCAATTTTCATTAATGATTTCTCCAGAACTTGAAAAGCTGACTCATGTGGAGTGATCCTAATCAATACATTTTGCTTTTTTTGTTTGTTTTCCTCTTCATGCAAATCCAATAGAAAATGATAAGAATGTGTTAAGTGAAAAATTTACAGCCATAGATGGAACATAACATGGTGGAAACAGAAAGGCAGGGGACTAGAAAATTGGAGGAGCCCAAGTTGGCAACTTGTTGGTATAACAATATTTTTAATTCATTGGGTTGCATAGTGAGGAGACATCATAAAGCCTGGAGGACATAGCAAAAGAGGAAAGGAGAGGTATGCAATAC